CCCAGCCGTCCCAGCCGCGAGAGGCCGGAGGCTAGTGCCGCAGGCCCGGCCGTACCAGCGCCGACCCGGCCTCAGCAAGATGACAGGGAGCTCACAACCGGTTTACCTTCTCCAAAATAAAAGATTTGAGATGCACTTTGAGGATTATTATTACTGTTATAAATCTTCTCTGTTATTGGATTATTTTATTGCTGTTTCTTTGCCCTTACTAGTATTTTATCCTCTCGGTTGTCAAGAGGGCACCAAAGCCTGAATCTACCTGTGCCCTTTGGCCATGGCATATGCAACCTGGTAGTCAGGCCAGTCCAGAGGGCTCACTCGGGAGTGAGTTACTCTCTGGAGCTGGCAGAAAGTTTAATACTGAAACTGGCAGTACTGACCTCACCAGCTCCCTGCTTGTGGACTCTCTGCTCCAAAAACCAAGCCAGGACCACAGTTTATAAAGATTCGGTTATCAGTGGCGTGGGATAGGTAAGTGGGTGCTATAGTTTGATTATGCCCCCCCCCCAATGCATGTATGTGTTGAGCCATTGTAACAGGTGAAAACTTGATACAAATATGTGGGAAAGTGGAGCCTTTGGAAAGAGATTAGAATTAAGTGTTTTGGAGTAGGGCTCCTATCATTGAATTTTGACGGAATGCGATCAGAACAGAGACTCATGGCACCAGCCACTCTGCGCTGACCTAGTGATGTAATTCTCACTCTGTAAGATACGCATCAAATATGGCCTGTGGGCCTTAAATCACCAAACCACGAGCTAAGTAAACCTGTATTTTTATAAAGCACCCAGTTTCAGGCATTTTCTGTTAGCCACACAGTAAGGGACTAAGACAGAAGTTTATATTACCATCATCTGGTCTTCCACCAGAAAAATGAAGGAAGGTGCCCCTGGCCTTTGAATCTTTTCTGCACCCTCCTACTCCCCAGCTGTCTTTGATCAGTAATGAGGACTCACTGGGCCTCTAGATGTTACACTCCCTGGAACTTGGATTAGTTATTGATAATGTAAGTAAAACCGGGCATTAGCTTCAGGAAAAACTTCGATGAGTGCATAGTGAGAGGTTAACATTGTAAAGTGCTTTAAAAAGCGGCCATGTGTGTTCTGTTTCAAAACAGTTCATTTCAGTTTCAATAATAAGAGTGGTACAATGGTGCCCCTATGCCACCTCCAGAGGATTTCCAAATCCCACATGGTCTCCTTTCTTAACTGCACCACAATCAAAGGTTGCCCTCCCTCTCACAGAGGGAGGCCCAGTGTGATTCAAAGACCACCTGCTTTGCCCTCACTGTGTGGTCTGCAAACTATTTCACCTTTGGTTGGTGCAGATAAGCCATTGATTAATTAATTGATTGATTGATTGCCATAGGGAGCATGCACTCACCAAAGAGAGACAGAGAGAGGGAAAGTGAGAAATCACAACACCTCCTCATCCCCATCCCACTGCCTAGGGGTGGCCATGCCACAATCCCTTCTCCTTCAATCTCTTCTCAGGATTTTGGCCACACACACACACAGGTGCCCGGCATGATTTTCAAGCCACCAGGTCTGGTACTCAAACTGTGATAGGCCACTTGGGAGTCTAGCACCTTAACCACTACGTCACCTTCTGGCCCCAGAGATTTTTTTCTTTCACACTTCTGGCAGTAAAATAAAATTTAGTAGATTGTAGAGCTATTCTACTTCGCAGCACAGAAAGCCAGCATAAAGTTGATGTCTAAATTCTGAGACCAAGTGCTCTAGGCCCTAGTGAGAGTATGGGTGAAATTTCACCGGGGAGATTTTTAGCACTGTGCCAAGTTTACCAATCCCACTCAGCAGGCTCCACCTTCAGAAAAAACAACAGAGGACCCTCAATGGCAAGGCCCATGGACAAGTAAGTGACTTAGCAAAAAGTGTTCATTGTGAACCACGGAAACAGTAACTATGCTTAAGATCTCTGCAAAAACCCATACTAAAAATGAGATGAAATTTTTAGGAAAAGCTAAATTTTAGGCAGGTCAGGGTTCGTGTTATACGTCCAAAGGAACCATGAGAGAGAGAGAGAGACTCTTCACGACTATCAGAGCAGCTGAGCCAAGTTTCCAAACACCATCAGGGAAAGGAGATGCTGGATTCAGGCCCCAGGGAGAACCATCTAAGATTAAGGTTATAGACCAAATCCCACCTGGTACCATTAGGCAGCCAAGGGTCACAGAAAGTGCATAGCATCAATCAAACGTGGGTTTGAATTCTAACTCTACTCCTGCAAGCTTTACTGGCCTGGGGAAAATGTGCTTGTCCATTCTGAGGCTTGGTTTCCCATCTTTGAAATGAGGAATTTTTTTTTTTTTTTTTTTTGGAGAGGTTTTTGCTATAGGGCACATGCACTCACCGTTAAGACAGAGACAGAGAGACAGCGAGAAATCACCCCCCAGGGGAAATGGCCACACCGCAATCCCTTCTCCTCCCTTCTCCTCTAGGGATCTTGGGCACGCACATACACGCACACGGCATGAGTTTAAGTCACTCAAACCACAGTCAACTACATGGGAGTCCAGCAACATAGCCATTACACTAACCGCTGCTCATGAAATGAGGATTTTACTATCTGCTGGATAAATACAGACTTCACAAGAAGGAAAAATTGGGGGGGGGGACAACAGGTGTTATACTAGTTAAGGCACTGGACTCCCACATGGCCTACCATGGTTCTAGACCTGGACCTGGCAGCTAGAAACTAATACCAGGCATGTGTGCATGGCCAAAATTCCAAGAAGAGAATGGAGGAGAAAGGATTGTGGTATGGCCCCGGGGGCAGGGGGTTCTCACTTTCTGTCTCTCTCTGTCTCTCTGGCAAGTGCATGCACACCACAGAAAAATCTCTCCTAAAAAAAGAAGAGGGGACCAGCAGATGGCATAATGGTTACAACACTGGACTACCACGTAGTCAACCACCGTTCAAGTCCTAGACCAGGCAGCTTCAAACTCATGCCAGATGCATGACCAAAATCCTGAGAGAAGAATGGAGGAACAGGAACTATGGCATGGCCATCCCTCCGGTGGGTGATTTCTCACTTTCTGTCTTTCTGTCTCTCCAGCGAGTGCACATGCCCTCTAGGAAAAAAAAAAAATCACTCTCTATAAAAAGGAAAAATGTGTAAAGCTAAAGAGCAAGTAGGTAGTAGGGGTGGGCCATGTGGGAGTCTAGTGCCTTAACCACCATCATAAGACTTTCAAGTCGCCAGTTCTGGGACTTAAACTGTGGTAGGCTATGTGGGAGTCCAGCGCTTTAACCACATGCCACGCGATGGTTAAGTGGCGTGATGCTGGAGACCATGTGGGAAGGCTCTGGGTTTGCATTGGCCTCAGTGTACCAGAGGCACCTGTGATCCTGACGTGCCTGCAGAGCTCAGGAATGGGGAATAGGATTGCAGCATGAGGATCATGTCAATAGTGCTCCTCCGCACCCCACTCTCTCTCAGAAAATAAATTAATAAACTGAGGGGAAAAAAATGCCGAACAAAATACAGCTCAGAAATAATCCCGCACAACCACGGTTAGCTGATTTTCAACAAAAGCACAAAAGTAATTCAATGGAGAGAGGATGGTCTCTTTTACAAATGGTTGAACATCAGGACAACTATGTGCAAAGAAATTAAGTGAGACACAGACTGCATCTCTCCCAGCAGTAACTCAAAAGTGGATCATGGTCCTAAATGTAAAACACACTATAAAACCCTTGGAAGATAGTAGAAGAGACTCTAGCTGACGGGGTTTGGTGAAGACTTTTTAAATACAACACTGAAAGCATGATTCTGAAAAAAAAATCATTGATAAGTAGGACCTTATTAAAATGAAATACTCAGGGACCAGCAGGTGGCATGGTGGTTAAGGTGCTGGACACTCCCACATGGCTAACCACGGTTCAAGTCCTGGACCTGGTGGCTTGCTTTTCTCTCTCTCTCTCTCTCTCGCTCTCTCTCGTTCTCTCTCTCTCCTTCCCTCCCTACTTCCCTCTGGTAAAATTAAAAGATAAATGAATGAATAAATAAAAAATATAAAAAACAAAATAACATAATTCTTAAAAAAAGAAGAAGAAGAAGAAGAAGAAAAACTCTTGTTCTGCAAAAGACACTGTTAAGAGAATGAAAAGACTAGCCCTGGACTGGGAGAAAATCTTTGCAAAACACATATATCTGGGCCAGCCCAGAGCTTGATGGTTAAGGTGTCTAGACTCCACATGGCCAACCATGCTATTTGAGTTCCACACCGGCAGCTTGAAAAACATACTGGGTACAGGTGTGTGCGTGTGCCTGAAGTCCCAGAACTAGAGGATAGAGGTGAAGGGATTGCAGTGTGATCATGATCCATGGGGAAGGGAATGCTTCCTCTCTCTCTCTCTCTTCCTTCCTCCCCCAGAGAGTGCACGCACACTCTAGCAAATTTTTTAAAAATTTAAAAACTGATAAAGGACTAATAGCTAAAATGTTTAAAGAACCACTTAAAACTTAAAATAAGAAAATGAGTATCTCGACTTAAAATA